GACACAGGTAGAGACAGGCACAGAGTAAGACTAAGTGATAGCTATAAAGGCAGAGTTAGCGCCAAGCACAGGGCCTGGCACATGGTAGGCATTCAATAAATGTTCCTTAAATCACTGCGGCAGGAGTCTAAATATAGGCAATGAAAGATGGAGGACTCGCAGACGGAGCTGGGAAGCTCAACGACCGCAAAGCCTGTGCACCCCCTTCGCCACCCAGCATTTTTGGGGGAACAAGTGCCATGTGCCCCCTGCTGGATCCTCCTGGGCTACCCTTTGCTGCCCTGAATAGAGATGAACCACAACTCCCAACAGCCCCACGGCCAGCAGCCCTCTAACACTGAGGCATCTTGTGCCTCAAGGCCTTGTGGGAGTTGGAGTCCCCCCTCATCCGAGACCGACAAGTTTTCTGGCCAAGGAATGTGGTAAGCCTGGGTCTCCATGCCTCTGTAAAACCCTAAATGCATGATCCTCTCTGCACAAGGCTTCTTCCTTCAGGGATGCTCAACACTGGGCTCCATCAAAGAAGTAGGAGTCTGGAAAGGAGATGCATAAGCCCCCCTCCCAGAATAGCTGCCAGTGCAGGCAAGCCCCTCACCCTCACTCTCATGTGTTGGAAGCAGAGCCCACACATTCCAACTGGCTCTCTGTGTACAGCTGTACACAGGGGACCACAGCCAGGAAGCCTAAGGTCAAGGGGTAGGTTAAGGGCAGGAGAAAGGTGGAGCAGAGGATCAGACAGACATTAAAGGAGACCAGGCCAGAGAAACCGAGGCACAAAAATCCACTGAAACTACAGGGGCTGAGGGCAAGAAGCAGCATGGGAGAAAACCCAAAGCCCACAGAACAGGGACAAGCAAGCAGCCCTGGAGACAGGGTGGGGGCTCCAAACCAAAAGGTCCTCAGCCCCCAATCTCTTCCATCCATGCTCACATGTGCACAACGCATGTGTACACACATGTGTGAGGTTGTGGCAGGAAACATGTGTGTCCTCAGCTCCCTCCCCTGAGAAGCTGCAGCTCCCACTAAATATAACCCCCTCCCCAGCCTGTGACTCACCCGGACCCCGCCTCCCCGGCCCCCACTTCCTGTCCCACCCCCCGGCCCCCAGCTGCCTGCCACCCGCCCAAGCCTCCCTCCACACACCAGGCATCCAGCTTTCCAGTCCCAGAGTCTCACAGCCAAGATCTAGGTATTCTGCATCCCACCAGGAGCTTGCTTTCGCTCTCCATCCAAGCTCTTCTGCCCTTTCCAGGCTGCAACCACAAGGCCACCCTTGTACAGATCCCCACTGCTGCCAGCCCTGCCTTCCTCCTACTCCTTTTCACCCCAGTAACCTTAATTCCAGGTGTCCCCCCTACCTTGATCCCAAGTGTCAGGGGTAGTAACAGGAACATTCCCCTGCATCTGCTTTTCTCCCTCTTTCTCACCAGGGGTAGATGCAGTGTAGGAGGGGATGGGGATACAAGGTACCTGCCTGGGCCACCCCCAAATTTTGCACCACCCACCTGGTTCCCCTCCTTGAATCCCCTCTCTCAAAACGTCTCATCTTCCTCCTCAGAAGCTGGCAACCTCAGCTGCTGCAACCTTCTACCTCCCATGGGAGTACCCCAAATCCTAACCTCACCTGGTCCATTCCCTCAGGTGATCCTATGTCAGGTTCCAGCCCTCTGACAACTCCCAACTAGCCCCATTCCACATGATCAAAGCCTAAATTAACAGTTCCCACAAATTGAGAGAGGATCCCCAAATGTATCTACCATGAGACGCTTGTTCCATAGCCTCAAGGCCCACCCCTTCCCTGCCAGCTGACACCCCCAGGCCAGTCAGGCACTCCCAACCAATAACCTTTACCCGAAAGCCAGGAGCCCCCTGACATTAGACAAGCCACCTGGAAGCCACCTTGTCTCCCAGGGGGAAAGAGGACCCCCACCCCATGTAGTCCACCTAACATACAGGAGCAGGACTCCCATGTGAGCCAGGCTTCTTCTTAAATAAGTCTCCCTCAAACATCATTGGTGAACCCCCAAAACCACCAGACCTCCCTAAGCCACAGAATACACCAAATTTTCCATTTCTCTACAGGTACAAAGGGATCACTCCAGGGGCACCTGTGGCCAAACCCAGCGTTTTCTCAGAATGTGAACCCCAAAACTAAATTATGACCCCCCCCAGATACATCTTCTGATGCTCTCACTCCAGGGCGCCTGGGCCCAGGTTAGGCCTGCCTAACCCCTCCCCACAAACTCATACCCTCCCCGCAGTTTACAGCCCCCCATCATGCTTACCTTGGTTGTCACTATACAGAGACAGTCCATGTTGGGGGGCCTGGCCGCGGCGGCGGGTAAGGGGCTCTGACTTCATCGGAGTTTCCTTCCTCCCCTCCGTGGGTTCTCACCCCTCCCCCCTCCGCACCCCACTTTTGCAGGGGGAGCCAGGATGGGGGGAGGGGTGAGAGGGGAAAGAGGGGGTTGGAGAAGGGAAGGGTAGGAGAGCGTGGGAGGGAGAGGAAGGGGGCCCTAAAGGGGGTCCCCAGAGGAGGGGAGGGGGCTCGGGGAGCACACCCCGATTCTCAGGAGGGGCGGGGGCACCGGGGGCTGGCAGCCCCGGAGTTCGGGGGCTGGGGCATGAGCTGAGGTGGGGGAGGGGAACTGGATTTCGGGGAGCCCCGGGGTAGGGGGGGGTCTTGCCTAAGGGCCAGGGGCTAGGGGCCGTGGCGGGGGGAGTGGGGTGGGGGGGTCGGAGGCGGCAGCGGCCGAGGGAGCCGTGGAGCCGAGGAGGGAAGGGGAGAGAGGAGGAGAGAGGAAGCAGGGGGAGGGAGGGAGGGAGCGAGGAGCGAGAATGGGGGGGTGCCTTGGCAGAGTTAACTCCTTCAGTGCTGGCTGGAACCCGGATAATGGGAGAGGAGCTAGAAGCAGGAGCCGAGAGGCCCTGAGGCAAACATGGAACCCTGGCCAGCCACCAGCAACACAGCAGAGAGATGAGGATGGTTTCATTTCTTAGAGGAAGCACCCAGAGTTGGGCTGGGAACACCCATGGTTGTTTAAACACTGGAGAGAGCCAATGGTAGGGGGCAGGGGATGAGGGAGGGGCTGGCAGGAGGGAATCCCTGGGGACCTAGTTCTCCCTTGGGATTCACAGGAGGGAGCCTGAAAAGTAATTATGTCCTGGACTCTTATTGCCTGAAATTGGGGCAGGCAAAGAAAAGGGGGAAGCAAGAGGGAGAAAGGGCTACAGGACTGGAGAGAGTGCATTCTGCATGCCCCTGACTCAGGATTTCATCCCCAGGGCCCCCACGTCTCAGTTAAATATTAGCAGTACTTCTCTCAGTACTTTGCTCCAGCCCTGCCTGCTCCCTCAGGAAGTTAGCACTCCCCCCCGCCCCCCCCACTCACCCGCTTACCTGACTCTCTGAGATGGAAGCCTCATAATAGTCCAGGATATCTGTCACAGGAACAAAACTGAGTTGCCCTCCCCCAACCCCTGCCGCCCTGGCCACCCCTGCCATCATTTGCCTCCGTCTGTCTGCTAAGGGCTCCTCTAGATGATGAACACTGTTGGGATGACCCCTGCATGGGGTGCCTGCTTGGACCAAATGATCTCCAGGCTCTCAACCAGCCCCCAAGTTGGATAATTGCCCTCACAGGTCCAGGTCAGTCCTTTCCACCACTGCCCCTCAGAAAATTGGGGCTACTCACCCAGCAAGGCCTGGAAGAGGTCACTGTGCAGCACTGTGAGGAGAGGGGGTGCCCATCGCAATAGCGGGGGGGCCAGGAGCCAGAGGGCTGACCTGGGAGCTGGTGAAATGGAAATGAGGGAGGATTGGGACAAGGAAGAGTCAAATAAACCAGCACACTCACCTCATCTTTCCCCAGCCTTTGCCCTTTCACCTCAGACTCTATGGAAAGGTTTGGGGAGAAGGAGTCCCAGCTGCCCACTCTGCCCCCAGGCCTCTCCTCTGCAAGGACTCCTGTTTTTCACCTCTTGGTCTCTCGGACATCTCTCTCTTCTCTCACTTTAATCTCCCTAATCCGCCAGGATTGGAGCTGAGCTGACTTCTCCTCACCCAATTCCAGCTGTTCAGTAAAGTAGGCAGTCTCTGAACCCATCCGCTGTCCCATTCTTCCCCAGGCACCCCCACCCCGACCTTGCTCCACACACCCTGACCCCTCTCCCCACAGCCGGGTATGACTTAGCTACACTTTCCCGAGGGAATGGGGAAGAGGGTCAGTACCAAGGAGGCTCCTGCTGCAAAAAGAAAGGAAGCTGAGCCCGGCTCTCTCCTCCTGGGCCTGTCCCCAGTAGGAATGACAGAAAGAGGGGTAGAAATGACCTAGGACTTCTTGAGCCAGGGCTACAGAAGTGTAGGGGAGGAGAGAACATGAGAATTCCTACACTTCCCCTCAGGCCTGGGAAGAATGTCTGTTCAGAGGTCTAGCCTGAGTACATGGTCTCAGGAAAGAACAGAGGGCAGAGAAAGACAGATGTTCAGGAAGACCTCAGAGGCCCTAACAGGGAGGCAGTGAACCCCGAGGGTTCTTCCTACTGTGAAAATGTAGGCGTTTCCAGAGTTAGTGACACCTCCTAAGTCTCAGAATACGCCACCTCACCAGTTCCTTTCCTTTTGTGTTGATGGAGACAGATTTCACGAAAGACCCCGAAGAATCGTCTTTCCATGCCTGTGCCTCCGGCATCTATCTTACACTTCTCTCTTCCCACTTGTCCCTTCTAACTCCACCTTGGAAGTCCTCCCTTCAGTCTACCCTCCATCCCTCTGGCTGCAGCTGCCTAAGCTCCTCCCTCTTCCATCCCAGCCTATCTTAACACCCCTTCCAAAGGCTGCACTCTAGTTCCGACAGGCGGAATGAAGAAGTTTGGGGGAGACAAGGGACGTTTGGAGATCATCCTAGGTAAACCAGAATGAAGGGACTGGGGGGGGGGGGGGGGGGCGCGCTACGGAACTACAGCTCCCAGCATGCCCCGGCGACCGGAAGCCCCGCCCGCCCGCCTCCCGGTGCATTGTGGAGAGTGAGTCACGGATGGGGAACCTAGACTTGGGGACCGGGCGAGAGCTCCAGGTCAGCCTTCGAGGCAGCGGCTGCCGGAGATGCAGGCGGCAAGGATGGCCCCTAGCGTGGGGCGGCAGCTGCTGAGGTTGGGTGGCGGAAGGTGCGTATATGACAGGAGGAACGGGGGGCAGGGGGCGTGGGGACCGTGCCAGAACCGAGCCCCCTCCTCCCCATAGCTCGCGGCCCAGCGCGCTCCTGGGGCAGCCCCGGCCCGGCCCTGCCCAGCGATCCTATGCCAGTGGGGCCACTCAGGTAAGTGACGGCAGCCTTGGGAGCGGGGCGTAGTAGGAGGAGTCTGCCCCAGCTCCCACCTAGCCGCCGCCGGCAGGGGTCTCCCTCTTCGTCCCGGTCGTCCCGGTCGTCTGCTGACTGGCCTGGCGCCGAATGTAGGGGAAAGGGCAGATCAGGGTGACCCGGGATGAAACTAGGGGAAAAGTGGCCGGATCCATCCTCCCCGGGACCCAGCTCTTCCCCTGGGCTCTCCTTGGCACTTCGGAACCCTCTTCTCTGGCCTAACTACCCCTTTGCCCAGGCTGTTCTGGACAAGTCAGATTCCGTCTCCTCTGAGACTTCGACCAGTGGAAAACAGGCCAAGGCGGTATGTGACCTCCAGGCCCGGAGGAGCTAAGCAGGGGAGCCCACCCGACAGCTCCCTGAAACCCCCATTCTCCCTTCGCAGGAATCTAAGTCGTTTGCTGCGGGGATGTTCAAGGGCCAGCTCACCACAGACCAGGTGTTTCCATACCCATCCGGTAAGGGAAGGGATAGCCAGAGGTGGATGAAACAGAGCAGTTTCTCCCGACACTCTGGTCTGACCTGCTCATCTGTCTTCTCCACCCACCCACAGTGCTCAATGAAGAGCAGACCCAGTTTCTCAAAGAGCTGGTGGGACCTGTGTCCCGTTTCTTTGAGGTGAGGAATGACTGACTGGGGACTACAGGGTTGGTCCCTGACAGGGTAGGAGATGTTAAGGAGCTTGTGGAATCCCATGCCTCCCTAGGAGGTGAACGATCCTGCCAAGAATGACATGCTGAAGCAGGTGGAGGAGACCACTATGCAGGGCCTCAAGGACCTGGGGGCCTTTGGTCTGCAAGTGCCCAGTGAGCTGGGCGGCGTGGGCCTCTGCAACACCCAGGTGAGGAAGCCACATCAGTCACTTCCCAGTGTCCAGGTCTACTGGAGCTTGGCAGATTCAGCTGCTTCCTTATCCCTGGGCTTAAGGTGTCTACCAAGCAACTGCCCTGGGGGCCTGTGAGATGTTGACTCTCCCTGATGTGTACACACCCCCTCCATATATAACACCAAATTACATGCAGTCTCCTAGGAACGTGGACCCTACCCAGGTTCCCACGTCTTAATGAATCTCTGAGGTGGGGAATGCCTGACAACAGGGTGGAAGCCTCCTTCCCACTAAGACCTGGACTGACTCGAGTGTCTTTTTCTGCCATGGTCCCACTTCCTCTCTCCACTCACTTTCTGGGGATGCCCAGGTCAAGCCTTGCTGTGTTGCTCACACTTTTCTGCTAAGGGCAGGTCCCCATGCAGCCAGTTACGACCTCAGATGCCCGCTTCCCCTCCAGTACGCCCGCTTGGTGGAGATCGTGGGTATGCACGACCTTGGCGTGGGCATCACTCTGGGGGCCCATCAGAGCATCGGTTTCAAAGGCATCCTGCTCTTTGGCACGAAGGCTCAGAAAGAAAAATACCTCCCCAAACTGGCATCTGGTGAGGCAGCCCTAGGAGACCCAGGGGTTGGGGGTGTCCTGGGCTTGACAGAAATTAGGCCGGTGGTACTTATCACCGTATAGCTGGCAGTGTCGGCTGGGGGAGATTCTGGGAAGGCATCAGTGTGCTGGTGGGGAAATGTGAAGAGACTGAATGTTGCCTGTGGGCAGGGGGGACACTGAAGGGCCTTTAATGGCCATCAGGACCCGGTGTAAAGGAGCTCTCTCTCAAACAGGGGAGACTATAGCTGCTTTCTGTCTAACCGAGCCCTCGAGTGGGTCTGATGCAGCCTCCATCCGAAGCTCAGCTGTGCCCAGCCCCTGTGGAAAATATTATACCCTCAATGGAAGCAAGATTTGGATCAGGCAATCTTCTTCCCATCTTCCGCCTCCTCTCCACCTCTGCCCAATTCCAGGCCCCACTGCTCTCAGTCCGCCACCGGCAGTCCTTGACTGCTCCTCATTTTTCCACAGTAATGGGGGCCTGGCAGATATCTTCACAGTCTTTGCCAAGACACCAGTTACAGATGCAGCCACAGGAGCCGTGAAGGAGAAGATCACAGCTTTTGTGGTGGAGAAGAGCTTTGGAGGTGTTACCCAGTGAGTGGGCTTGGGAAGGAAGGTCGAGCCAGGGAGGGGGCAGCACTGAGCTCCAGGGCAGACAGCTGTTAAAGGTCACCCTGGGGATGTGTGCAAAAGCCAGACCAGCTGAACAGTGTGTTCCCTTTGGGACTAACATGTATGGAACTGATCTAAAGCTTTGGCTCCAGCAACCAGTGAGCCCAACACATGACAGCAGGATAGAGCCAGGCTTCCTGAGCCCTGTGGGCACAGGAACTGTTGCCTGCACCCTCTTACAGGCTGGGAGTTGTAGTTCCTCCCTGGTTCATAAGGAATGAAGTGGCAGTCCCCCCCCAGCAGCAACTTGTTGAACACAGCTCTGTTTCTCCACCCTGCCCTGTCACAGCGGACCCCCTGAGGAGAAGATGGGCATCAAGGCCTCGAACACTGCAGAGGTGTACTTTGATGGAGTACGGGTGCCGTCAGACAACGTGCTGGGTGAAGTGGGGGGCGGCTTCAAGGTCGCCATGCACATTCTTAATAATGGAAGGTTTGGCATGGCTGCGGCCCTTGCAGGCACCATGAAGGGCATCATTGCTAAAGCGGTGAGTACTCTGCCTGAGTCCCTAGCTAGCCTGAATCTAAATCCCACTGTCCCCCTTTCCAGGTATCCCTCTTCCCTTGCAGGCACTCCCTCCATGAGAGACCCCTCGTCCACCAGCAGCTCCAGACCAGATAGCTTACGTTTCCCTCCAGCGTGGACTGAACTCTTGGCTGTGGCCATAGTCCCTCCCTCCAAGCCCAGCCCCACCCCTTCCTGGGGAGAGGAGACTAGAGAACCACAGTGGGATACACGTGTCCTCTTCCAGGTGGATCATGCTGCTAATCGTACCCAGTTTGGGGAGAAAATTCACAACTTTGGGATAATCCAGGAGAAGCTGGCCCGGATGGCTATGCTACAGTATGTGACTGAGGTGAGGGCTGCCCCACCACTCTCTCCCCAGAGCCCTGTGCCTTCTTCCAGGTCGGTTTAGACTACAACCCCCAGCAGCACCTGGGGCAGTGGGTCTCCAGCTTTACACCAATGCCCTAGGGGATGCGGGGAGGCATAGTCAGCTCAGCTTCTGCAGAATAGGGAGAGCCATGCTGTTCTGCTGAGGTGCTTCCAGAGGTACCTGAGGTTTATTCTGCCCCCTCCCCCACCCTTACCTCTTCACCCCTTTCAAGAAATCAAATCCTAGAAGGCCCTTATGAAGTGACTCAGGACCAAATAATTTGATGTGCCTGACACGTGGAGTTAGAAGGTGAAGGCAAGGGCCACAGGGAGCTAGGGCAGACCTGGTCTAGGAGAGTTGGGGCATCAGTCCAGTCTGATGCAGCCCTTTTCCATTTTCCTTCCCATATCAACCATGCAACCTCAGTCCATGGCTTACATGGTGAGTGCCAACATGGACCAAGGATCCACGGACTTCCAGATAGAGGCTGCCATCAGCAAAATCTTTGGCTCGGTGAGGTCCCAGGCCCACAGGGAGGCAGAGGCCAGTTCAGGAGCTGGCTCCAAAACCAATCTTATGTGGTTCTTTGTCCCTAGGAGGCAGCCTGGCAGGTGACGGATGAATGCATCCAAATCATGGGAGGCATGGGCTTCATGAAGGTACAAGATGGTTCTCTGTTTGGGGTAGCCACAGTTGGGCCTGGAGGAGTAGACAGGCACATCTCAGCAGGGGCAGGTGATGTGTCTTCCCCTATGGTAGGAGGCTGGGGTAGAGCGCGTGCTCCGAGATCTTCGCATCTTCCGGATCTTTGAGGGGACGAACGACATTCTCCGGCTGTTTGTGGCTCTGCAGGGCTGTATGGTAAGAGGGAGAAGAATGAGGGGGGAGATGTAGGGAGGACAGCAAGTCCTGACTGTTGGACCATCCTTCCCCACAGAATAAAGGAAAGGAACTTTCTAAGCTTGGCAGTGCTCTAAAGAATCCTTTTGGGAATGCCGGCCTCCTGCTAGGAGAGGCAGGCAAACAGCTGAAGCGGTAAGCTTAGGGGCCAGGCCAGGGCAGGGCTGGGCCGAGCAGTGTATGGCAACTAACCAGTCACTCTTCCTCTTCCTTTAAGGCGGGCAGGGATGGGCAGTGGTCTGAGTCTCAGTGGAATCGTCCATCCGGATTTGAGTCGGAGCGGTGAGCTGGTAAGTAGTCAAGGGAGGAGGGACAGCCTGCATCATAGGGCTGATGGCGCTTCCCCCTTCTGAGCCCTAAATGCGTTCCCCATCTCTACAGGCAGTGCAGGCTCTGGAGCAGTTTGCCACCGTGGTGGAGGCTAAACTGATAAAACACAAGAAGGAGATTGTCAGTGAGTGAGCTCTACCCCATCCCCTCCCCTCCTTTTCCTCTCCCTCCAACTGATGCCCTCCCCACCCCGTCCCATCTACCTGACAGATGAACAGTTTCTGCTGCAGCGTCTGGCAGACAGTGCCATTGACCTCTATGCCATGGTGGTGGTTCTGTCCAGGTGAGGCGGCAGTGTAGGAGGCCTGAGCCACAGGGGGGTCCTGGGCCAGGGTCACAGCCTAGATTTGTTTTCTCCTGCTTCCCACCAGGGCCTCAAGATCCCTGAGTGAGGGCCACCCCACAGCCCAGCATGAGAAAATGCTGTGTGACAGCTGGTGTATTGAGGTGAGATTCAGGGTTCCAAGTACAGGTGGGGGGCTCAAGGCACAGGCCCGAACCCCTCCTTCCCTCTCCCCAGGCTGCAGCCCGGATCCGGGAGACCATGGCTGCTCTGCAGTCTGACCCCCAGCAGCAGGAGCTCTTCCGTAACTTCAAAAGTATCTCCAAGGCCTTGGTGGAGCGGGGTGGCGTGGTCACCAGCAACCCCCTTGGCTTCTGAACACTCGCAGCCAGGGCCTGGCCCGGAATGTGCCTTCTCTCAAGCCAAAGCCCAGGCCCCTTTCTTGCAGGCCTTGGTTCTGCCTTGAAGGGGCCCTTGCCCCCAGACCGTGCCTGCTCTCACAGGGAGCAGTTACTGCCTCACAAATAAAGTTCGTAAGGAGTCATGCTTTGCTACAGTGTCTCAGTCCTCTCCCTCTCTGCCTGCCTCCCTCCCAAAGAAAGGAGCCAGAGGCGTGGGGAGTTTGCCCCTATTGCTTTATTTGGTGTTTTATACAAGTAACTAAAATAAATAGAATAACAGAAGCAGCTACACGGCCCCCAGATACCAAATACCGGAGCTCCTTTGACTGCTGTCTAGGGTAGCCAACCCCTTCCTCCTCCCAGGTACCACTGACCATCCTCCGCCCTGTGCAGGACAGAGTCGACTGGACAAATGGAGGAGGTGGTCACATTTTGGGGTGAGAAGAAGGGGCCCAGGAGACGGGGAATTCTTCATATAAAAGAGGAAAGGTCCACTAAAAAAATAGTTCAAAAAACGTAAGTCTATTTTAACCCCAAAAAGGCTTACAAAAAACAATAAAGCTAAAAATCACCAAAGGTCCCTTGTACACCCCTGAGGAAAGGGGGGCAACCAGGCACTGCTGGTAAAAGTCACAGTGGCAACAACCTCCTAGCAGGCAGCAGCCCACAGGACAGGCTGAGCCCAGGCACCAGAGAGGAGTAATGAGCGCATGACAAGACACCCAATCACAGGACAGGAGCACCAAACAATGACTGGGCAGGCCAAGAGTGGAAATCCAACATGGCCCCACTGTGGGCTCTACATGACATCCACAAAGAACTCACTGGGGTTGCCCATGGCCATGTGGAAACTTTGGCGGCTGGCTGTTAGCTCTGGGGGTACCGAACCCAGGTCTCTGACTGGAGGGGCCCCTGGGGGCTGCACTGCTGGAGGGACAGGGGGTGGGGGTGGGGGCATCATGACCACCATCATGGGGTTATAGGGAAGGGTCATGCCAGGGGGTGGTCCATAGGGATGGAGACCTGCGTGGGCTCGAAGATTGGGAGCACCCCCTGGCGAGCCCCTAGATGGGGGAGGGCCCCCATCGCCAGTCCCGCCAGATTCCCCGCCCCGCCGAAGGCTTCCCCCGCGGCTGGAAGGCTCAGACTCACTGCCACTGCCGGACTTGGACTCGGGGGCCCGCTCCTCAGGCCTCCCTGTGCGCCCTGCCCCCCCATCGCTTCGTGTTGACCCACTGCTCCGGCTCCCTGTTGGGGGAGAGGGGATGGGGGCAACTGAGCCCTAGCCCAGAGTCCCTCAGCCTCCCCAGCCCTTGCTCCAGCCTCTCTTCCTTGGTTTCCCCTCGCCCCTCCCCAGACCCTGGCTGCATGGGTATCTGGTGGCGACTTACCCTCACTGTGCTGGCTGCTGGCACTGCCTCCACCATAGGTATAGGATGAGAGCTCATGGTAGGGTGGGGGCTGGGGGCTGTATGGGTGTGGGGCTGGGTACTGGTAGGAGAAGGTGGGCAGCAGGGGCCAGGGGGTAGCCCCAGGGAGAGGAGCCAAGGTGTCCTGGTCCGAAGCCCCACTGGAGCCATCGTTGTCATTTAGAGACAAGTTAACTAGGTCTGGAAAGTAAAAGAACAGACAAAGACTCACTGCTTCGAGAGGTCAGGACCCCAAGACACTGAACGAAGAGGAACTGGGAATCGTTTCTCCAGAACCATCCATGATGGGAATTAAAATGGGGGATGACAGGGGCCTCTGACAGGAAATTCCCCACCTGCCACTGCCATCAGGGCAGGAACACAGCCAGGGCCACCACAAGTCCCATATGCTTACGAGACTCAGGAAGAAGTACCCCTCCCCCCAACAGACACAGCCTAGCCCACAAGGCATGGCTTGTCCAACCTATCGATTGTGGGTGGATGTCAGCCCCCACGTGCCCCATCGGCCATACTGCTCAACCATCTATGGTGGCCCTGGCTGGTTTCTGGGCAAGGTCTGGGGTTGGAGAGGCAGCCAGAAATGCTCTCCCAGGGCCAGGACAGGGGGACTCACAACTCTCACAGCCGCCGCTGAGGTCTCCAAAGACATAATAGCACTGCTCAGAGAAGGTGATCTTGTTTACGGTGTGTCGGATGAGGCCTGCCTTGAGGAGCCCACTGGCATACTTGCGGGCCTCCCGCCGCTCAGGAAAGCCCTCCACGTGATGGTAGAGCCAGTCAACCACATCCGAGCCTGGGATCGCCCAGAGCAGAAAAAGGCCTCAGGTTCTCCTCCCCAGCTCTTGCTTCACCCCTGCCTGGGCGAGTCCCAGCTTTGGTCTCCTCCACCTACCCTCCTTCCCAGGCCATATGCCGAGGGCCCAACCATACCCAGAAAGGCATTAGGGATGGTGATCTTGAGCCACATGCGGTCCCGAACTTCCAGCCCAGACTCTGGAGCTGCCATGGCTTTGGTCACAGATGCCATGTCTGTGTGGATGGAGAGACCCCGGCCCTCACAGCCTGACAGAGGAGACAATGAGAAATCAGAGGTAGGGCCCACCTCCAAGGAGTAGCAGAGTCACACCATTGTAGGGAGGAGTTCTCCAGGGAGGGTGGGATAAGACAGGCCCGGGGCTCACCATCAGGCAGAGAGGACCCAGATGTAATGGTGCTCATGGACGAGGATCCTGGATAGGCTGGGAAGGTGCCTGTCAGCGCAGCAGAGTGTGAAACCCAAGCAGCAGGGTCAATTGGCTGGATGGGCTCATCTGGAACAGAGAAGGCCACCAAAATGATCATTTCCCAGTCCCAAAGGGCCAGCCCTGTCCCTCCTTGACTCAGACCCCATCTCACCTCCACCTTGACCCTCCTCCACCCATTCCCCAGGACACAGCCCCAGCTCCCAGCTCTCCCGTCCTCAGCTGTAGGCCTTCCCGGGCATCACTCACTTCGGGGAAGAGTGAAATAGGCCTGGGGAGAGGGATCCCAGCACTTGGCCACAGTCAGCACGATGGGGCTGTGGGGAAGAGGAGGCTGCTCAAGCAGGGGTAGGGGGAGAGGCCTCAGGAGGGCGGAGGCCTGGAGCGAGAATGGGGTGAGGGACAGAGAGAGGGAGAGAAGAAAAGAGCACAGACAAGGCTGGGCCAGAGAAAGTGAGGGTGGAAGGCTCCACAATGTGGGTGAGTCACCAACATGGATAACTCTTAAAAACATATTACTGAGTGAGACAAGAGAAGACAGGCCGTACAGTTCCATTGAGAGAAAATCCCAAAACAGGTAAAACTAAACCATGTCGTTAAGGACACATGCATGGGCAGTAAAACAACCAAGTGAAGAGCAGATTTTCTGCCTCAAGGTGATGACCAAACAAGTCAGGAGAGTGGTTATCACCTCTGGGGGGAGCGAGGAGGGTGGGAGCAGGAAGGGACACTGGGGGGGGGACTTCTGGGATATCAGTAACCTTCTATTTCATGACCTAGGTGGTGGTGACATGGGCACTCATTCACTGTACAAGTTACGCATTTTTGTTTTGTGTGCTTTTTAGATACGTGTTATGTTTCACCACTTTTTAAAATCATAAAACAAAAGGTGGAAAGGAAAGACAAGAGGACAGAGGACCTGAGACCAGCTCAGAGGCTTACCCCGGCTTATGCACGATGTCCCTCAGCACCCGCACCGCATCATCATTGCTCATGTTCTCAAAGTTCATGTCATTGACCTGGAAATGAGGCGAAGTGGATCAGAGGGAGGGTGGGAGAGGCTGAGAGCCCCTGCCCGAGTCAGCGCCGGTGGCCCTACCCCAGCACACCTGCAAAAGCATGTCCCCAGGCTCGATGCGCCCGTCAGCCGCCACGGCCCCACCCTTCATGATGGAGCCAATGTAGATGCCACCGTCTCCCCGCTCATTGCTTTGGCCCACAATGGAGATGCCCAGGAAATTGTACTTCTCTGTGGAGGGAGTCCATGTGACAAGGGAAGCTCCAGCCACAAAACCTCCAGGAGCCCTGGAGATCGGGTCCTCCCCAGCCCCTCAGCCCCAGGTTCCCTCCATACCCATGTTGAGTGTGACTGTGATGATGTTGAGAGACATAGTGGAATCGGTGACACTGCTGAAGGATGAGGTCTGTGGTGGGAAAAGGGGAAGGAGCTGGACCGCCTTCAACAACCCAGGGATAAGCCCTAGGATTCTCACAGTCTGTGCCCTGTACGCCCTAAACCAAGGCCCACGCCCCTACCTTCTCCAAGGCCCACTGTCCCATGAGAAGCCTCTCACCCTCTCCAGGCGGGGTGGCCGCTGTTTCCTCCGCCGCCGGTGGCGCTTGAGGAGGCGGGAGGCACTGCTCTGCTCTGTGGAGCTGCTGAACCTGTCAGGAGGTTGGGAAGGGGAGCAGTCGCAGGCAGTGGTGGTCATGGGGCCAAGAGAAAGGACAGGCAGATTGGCTAGAAGGAGGGAAGAGAGAGGGCTCGTGCCCTGGGGAGACATGTGTGGAGCCATACCTGCTCATGGTGTCGTCCTCGTCCGAGTCCCCCAGGCTAGTGCTTTCCAGCTCACTGGTCATGAGGGTTGAGGAGCTCTCGTACCCAGCCAGGTGGCGCTCCAGCCTCGAGGGGCCGCTGGGCCTGTGGCCCCCAGCTAAGCATGAACAGGAACCTCAGGAACCAGACCTCATGTTCCTTACCTTCATCAAGGTTGGGGTCTGACCCAACCCCTTCTCCCCAGCCTCAGGGCCGGCCCCCCTCACCGCCATGCTCACTGCTGTCTCTCCTGCGAGGTCGCTCCCGCCTCAGAGACACTACTGACTCTGTTTCCGTCTCGGGCTCCAGATTTTCCCGGCTGCTGGACACATTAGGGCTAGATGGGCAGAGATGGTTTCCAACCCACATCAGTGGGACAAGGCTCCAAATAGTCAGCTTCCCCTCCCAGGGGCTTGGATTCCCTCCTCACCTCCCCCCCGGGGCTCAAGAATCCAAGAACTCACTGGAAGGACGGAGGCCTAGAATCCCCAATGCCACTGGTCCTCTCCGGTGGCAAAGGGGGTAATGGTGGGGGTGGAGGTGCCAGTTCCATCCGAGGCTCATGGGTCGGGGGGGGAGTCATCTCGGGTTGGGGGTTATCTGATGACACTAGCTAGAAGAGTGCAAGTGATAAAAAATGGCTCAGTGGGGAAGGGGCTGTAT